GGGGCTTGGAGGAGAAGAAAACTCAAGCGTCTTTTTGTTTCGTAAAAGCTGTCACGACAGCTGTTCAAGTCGGTATTTTGAACAGCTGTCACGACAGCTGTGTACAGCTGCCAGCTGTCTAAATCAAAACAAGCTGTTGTATATTGGGTCGTCTTTGCTGAAAAAGACGACATTTTAGATTAGCTCTTAGATAGCTTGAAGAGACAGAATTTTAATAAAAAAAACCTGACTGATTTTTTTTTCAGATTCGTTTGTGAACTCTCAAGAGTGGACTTTATCCAGAACAGTTCCCGATTTAAGGTAAATAAAAATAATTATAATGTTGATAATAATAATGAAAATGTTGATAATAATCATGAAAATGTTGATAAGCTGATTTTGATGATATATTAGCTTTTTTTGAAATTTGGTAGAACAATGACCACAACTTCAATTTTTGAAAGTTTTGAATATATTAGAAACACTTAATTTTGTATATTTTTTGTTACATTTTCAAATAAAAACTTTTCTTTCTTATTCTAGAGAGAATTTTAACAGAATGTTTAGGGCGACAGTTTTATTTACTCTATATTTTAGATATATATGTTACTTAAATAAAGAATGTTATATTTAAAATTGAATAATTATGATTTATCATGTTAATGCTTTTTACCTTTTTCAATCTTTGTCATTCTTTGGCCTATTCTTGATTTTTTTCTTGATGTGTTAAATTTTTCATGATATTAATCTAATAGAAAATTATTAACGTGAAGCAACTGTACCACTTAAAGGGACAATTTTCTTTATTTCAAAATGAATTCAGAATATAGAAGAATGAGATGGCTTATTCATAATGGCACCCTTAGAACCTCTCTATCTGTGTAACACACTTAGGAAAATATTTTTGTTTCCTATGTGAATTTGTTAAATTCTGTTAATTTCTTTTATTATTTAGCAGCTAAAATTCGCAAGTTTAGAGAAACTGAAATTAAAATAATTTATTTTCAGATTTAAAACTCCATAATTTTGTAACAGACAAATGTTGGAAGGGTACTGTGTGAATCGGACAGACGCCCTTTTTTCATTTAAAAGGATTTTTTTAATATTTTAGACTTGGGATAGTTGGTTCTTTGTCTAGTGGTAAATCTGCCCTTGTACACAGATATCTTACTGGCAGCTATATGCAGGTATACATTAAATTTCTATATACATAAAGTAGTAATCTCTGCCCTTGTACATTGATATCTTACTGGCAGCTATATGCAGGTAATATATATATTAAATATCTATGTACATAAAGTAGTAATCTCTGCCCTTGTACATAGATATCTTACTGGCAGCTATATGCACTATGCAGGTAATACATATATTAAATATCTATATACATAAAGTAGTTTTCTCTGTCCTTGTATATAGATATCTTACTAGGTAGCTATATGCAGGTAATACATATATTGAATATCTATATACTTAAAGTAGTAATATCTACCCTTGTACACAGATATCTTACTGGCAGCTATATGCAGGTAATACATATATTGAATATCTTTATACATAAAATAGTAATCTCTGCCCTTGTACACAGATATCTAACTGGCAGCTATATGCAGGTAATACATATATTAAATATCTTATTAAATATCTATATACTTAAAGTAGTAATATCTACCCTTGTACACAGATATCTTACTGGCAGCTATATGCAGGTAATATATATATTAAATATNATAAAAAATTTGGGCCCGATCGGTTCAGCCGTTTTGACGTTTATTGGATACAAACAAACAGACAGGCAGACAAATTTATATATAGATATATATATAAAGTAGTAATCTCTGTTTCTTTGTATTTTTGTATGTCCGAATATAACTCAGGAACTTATATGCTTCAACTTTTGATTGGGGAACTTGGGAGAACCACGGGAACGTTTTCAGCTCGGTTTAGAGATTCTAAGTTAACTGGGTCGACTTTTATAGGAAAAATAGCTTAATCGCAATTTAAGACGAAGCGCGGGTAAACAGCGGGAGTAACCTGGGCAACACTGGGTTTCTTAGCGAGTAAAATTTATAATAAATATATTTTTTGATAAAAAGTATCGAAAAAGGTGAAAAGCTGCCCTTTGATGTCAATTTTTTTATTCCTGAAAATATGTACCCCTGTCATTTTGCTTAGAATGTTCTGATTTCGTAAGATTATTATCAACGATTTTTTAAATTTAAAAAATACAAATTTTTTAATTTTTTAAAATTTTGATTGGTTCAGCCGTTTAAGACGTCTATTAGATCATAACTGTCAAACAAGGCGAATACTTTGAACTTTTAAATAAATGTGTATTTTCCGACTTAAAATGAAAAAGAAAATATTTGTTTTTTAATTTCTAGATTTTTTTGATATTCTGAATCATGAAATATTTGAGAATACCGTAAATGTAGATAATGTTCTGTAATTTGATCCTATTCGCCTTGAAACATGTTCGACGTCATTACTCAATCCCGGAATCCAAACTTTTCGAGAACTAAATAAGTGCTTTGACTTCTTTATAGAAGTCTTTTATGTTACAGGGTTACCCACTAAGGATAAGACTGTAAAGACGACCTGAAACACTTATGATATGACGATTCTAAGGTCTTCCGTTTTAAGTAAAGTCTTAACTCTTTTTACAAGTTTACAGAGTTGAAGGGAATCATGAATATAAGAAAGACAGTATAAGTTCCGTACAGTCGTCTCTGAAGTCTCAACCTTTGTGGGTGTACATTAAAATATTTATATCTGTTGTTTAGCAATGGGAAATCGATTTCTGGTTTTTTAATTCAGTTTTGAACAAATTTAATGTAAAAATAGTAAAAAATCTTTGATTTTCGAACCTCTTTCGATCAAAGCATAAATGCTTTCCGAACATTCAAAAAAAAAATTGCGAATTTTTTTGTTTCATCGGTAGAAAATTTTAATTGTTCCCTAAAAAAAAGGGCAAATATGTAATTTATGTAGACATTTTACCTCCTTATTGTTTAGGAGGAGTCTCCTGAAGGAGGCAGGTTTAAAAAGGAGGTTGTTGTGGAAGGACAAAGTTATTTATTATTAATCAGAGATGAGGGTGGACCACCAGAATTACAGGTAATGAAAAAAATAGGAAATGAAAAAATAGAAAAAAAATATCAAATTATGAAAAATTAAAAAAAGTTGAAAAATTAAAATGTTTAAATATGGAAATATTAAAATATTGTAAAATTTGGGAAGATTCCTCCCTCTGACTCCGCCCTTTTATCCTTAAAAAAAATATTTGGAAATTTACATAAAAAATGCAAGTTTACTTGTGTAACGGAAAATATTGCTCTGAAATCTGAATATCAAATTGCATGTTTGTAGATTCATGGATCATTTTCAGATTTCTTCTAATATAACGTCATCAATAAGCAGAGGGGTGAATAAGTAAAAAAAAAAAATTAAGTGGATTTTTTGTTTTCTGTACAAACAATGATTTGTATAAAAATTGCCTTTTTTCCAAGTTAGTAATGAACAAATTTTGTTGAGGAAAAGTACTTTATATTGTGTAGAATTTCGTTTCACATAAATCCTGTAAGATACAGGTTGTCCCACTAAAAATGAGTTTGTAAGATACAGGTTGTCCCAATAAAATGATCATCTAAGATACAGGTTGTCCCACTAAAAATGAATTTGTAAGATACAGGTTGTCCCAATAAAATGATCATCTAAGATACAGGTTGTCCCACTAAAAATGAATTTGTAAGATACAGGTTGTCCCAATAAAATGATCATCTAAGATACAGGTTGTCCCACTAAAAATGAATTTGTAAGATACAGGTTGTCCCAATAAAAATGAGTATCTAAGATACAGGTTGTCATACTAAAAATGATAATGTAAGATACAGGTTGTCCCACTAAAAATGATTTAGTAAAATACAGGTTATCCCAATAAAAATGACAATGGATGACAATCTTTGAACATATACATTAAACTATTTATGTAAACATTGATCGTTGAATGAAGCTGATAAAAAGGCCACTTTTTGTTTCTAATCTTACTAAGATAAAGGGTTAAATTAAACAATGGGTGCCATGTATCTATGGGGGATCCTCAAAACGTTTCTTGTATATTCATTTTAAGTTTAGGTGTGGAAAGTAGGACTCCCTAAGAACATGATTTGATTTGATTTGTTGGGACACCCTGTAGTAGAAATAGATCTATAAGATCTGAAAGAAATACTGTTCCCCGGCATCCTAAATCCGAATGATATTGCCTTTCAGATATCAGCCTTCAGCACTCATGTATCTCTATATTGACGGCTCAAACAAAAATCTCTTTCTGTTTTCTTTAAAATTGTTTCTTTTCTTGAAAAAAAAGTTTTACCAAAAAATAAAGAAGAAAAATTAACTGACTAACATACCGATTTTTATTAAGGTTTAAATATTTTTAATCCAGAATTTTCCAAATATTGATATTCTGAAACGTTTTGTGATCATGTTCATAATCAAGTATTCTCCTTTTTTGTTTTAAATAAGATTAAATAAAACAATTTTTCTGCTCGTGTGTAAAATATATTAAAATACTACAAAAATAATATTTAAAAAATGTTCTGTTTAGTTTACGAGCTGGGTTGATGCGATCATCTTCGTGTTCAGCTTGGAGAACGACAGCAGTTTCTCCGCCATCTACAACTACTACGCCAAGATGTCTCAGTTTAGGAATATACAGGAGATTCCTCTTATTCTAGTCGGTACTCAGGGTAGGTTTACGCATTTATACAGTACACAGGGTAGGTTTACGCATTTATACAGTACACAGGGTAGGTTTACGCATTTATACAGTACATTGGGTAGGTTTACGCATTTATAAAGTACATTGGGTAGGTTTACGCATTTATACAGTATACAGGGTAGGTTTACGCATTTATATAGTACACAGGGTAGGTTTACGCATTTATACAGTACATCGGGTAGGTTTACGCATTTATACAGTACACAGGGTAGGTTTAAGTACACAGGGTAGGTTTTCGCATATATACAGTACATTGGGTAGGTTTACGCATTTATACAGTACACAGGGTAGGTTTACGCATTTATACAGTACACAGGGTAGGTGTACGCATTTATACAGTACACAGTGTAGGTTGTACGCATTTATACAGTACACAGGGTAGGTTTACGCATTTATACAGTACACAGGGTAGGTTTACGCATTTATACAGTACACAGGGTAGGTGTACGCATTTATACAGTACACAGTGTAGGTTTACGCATTTATACAGTACACAGGGTAGGTTTACGCATTTATACAGGACATTGGGTAGGTTTACGCATTTTTACAGTACACAGGGTAGGCTTACACATTTATACAGTACACAGGGTAGGTTGTACTTTTAAGCAGTACACAGGGTAGGTTCTACGCATTTATACAAAACACAGGGTAGGCTTACACATTTATACAGTACACAGGGTAGGTTGTATTTTTAAACAGTACACAGGGTAGGTTTTACGCATTCATACAATACACAGGGTAGACTTACACATTCATACAGTTCACAACTTCACAGGGTAGGCTTACGCATTTTTAAAGTACACAGGGTAGGTTTTACGCATTTATGTAGTACACAGGGTAGGTTTTTGTACTCGTATATACAATACACAGGGTAGGTTGTACGCATTTATACAGTACACAGGGTAGGTTGTACGCATTTATACAGTACACAGGGTAGGTTGTACGCATTTATACAGTACACAGGGTAGGTTTTACGCATTTATAAAGTACACTGCTAGGTTTACGCATTTATACAGTAATCAGGGTAGGTTTACGCATTTATACAGTACACAGGGTAGGTTTACGCATTTATACAGTACACAGGGTACGTTGTACGCATTTATACAGTACACAGGGTAGGTTGTACGCATTTATACAGTACACATGGTAGGTTTTACGCATTTATATAGTACACAGGGTAGGTTTACGCATTTATACAGTACATTGGGTAGGTTTACGCATTTATACAGTACACAGGGTAGGTTTACGCATTTATACAGTACNAGGGTCTCTTGTAATTTCGCCGACTGTCCCTTTAGTTCATCATAAAAGCAATAAAATTCCCTTTAATATTTGCAGAAATGTTATACCTAGAGGCCAAGGATTAGAGCCAAATAGGTTGTACGCATTTATACAGTACACAGGGTAGGTTTACGCATTTATACAGTACATTGGGTAGGTTTTACGCATTCATACAGGGTAGGTTCTACGCATTTATACAATACACAGGGTAGGTTATACGTATTTTTACAGTACACAGGGTAGGTTGTACGCATTTATACAATACACAGGGTAGGATTACACATTTGTGCAGTACACAGGGTAGGTTGTACTTTTAAACAGTACACAGGGTAGGTTTTACGCATTTATACAATACACAGGGTAGGCTTAAACATTTATACAGTTCACAGGGTAGGCTTACGTATTTTTACAGTACACTGGGTAGGTTTTACGCATTTATGTAGTACACAGGGTAGGTTTTACGCATTTATACTGTACACAGGGTTGGTTTTACTCATTCATACAGGGTAGGTTGTACTCATATATACAGTACACAGGGTAGGTTGTACGTATTTATACAATACACAGGGTAGGTTGTACGCATTTATACAGTACACAGGGTAGGTTTTACGCAATTATACAGTACATAGGGTAGGTTTTACGCAGTTAAACAGTAAGCAGGGAAGGGTTTACGCATTTATACAGTACACAGGGTAGGCTTAAACATTTATACAGTTCACAGGGTAGGTTGTACTCATTTATACAGTACACAGGGTAGGGTTTACGCAATTATACAGTACACAGGGTAGGTTTTACGCAGTTAAACAGTACGCAGGGTAGGTTGTACGTATTTATACAGTACACAGGGTAGGTTGTACGCATTTATACAGTACACAGGATAGGTTGTACGCATTTATACAGTACACAGGGTAGGTTGTACGTATTTATACAATACACAGGGTAGGTTGTACGCATTTATACAGTACACAGGGTAGGTTTTACGCAGTTATACAGTACGCAGGGAAGAGTTTACACATTTATACAGTACACAATTATTAGGTTTTCAGGGGCCTTTGCCCTTCTTTTATTTCAACTCTCAACTTTGAGCATTTTCTCCTCGTACAATATAAAATAGTAGGCAAAGAAATTTCGAGGATTTATTTAATTTTTTTGTGGATTGTAAGAAGGTTACCAAAATCTAAATTTTTTAAAACAAATTTTGAAATTTTGAGCAGACGGCTGAACCGATCGGGCCTCAAAAATTTGAGCCCAATCGGTTTAGCCGCCTGGACGTTTATTTGATACAAACAAACAAAACAAACAGAAAGACCCACAAAGTAAATATATATATAGATGCGTATGTGGGTGCACTCTAAGATCAGCAAATATACGCAGGGGGGTAATTTAAATACGGACACGCTTCAAATGCGTACATACAAATATACCGTTTTATTGGTTTACTTAGCACAGGCGAAAAAGCTGAGAAACCTCTGGATAAAGCGTGCTCATATCGGTAACTTAAATACGCAAAAGATTTACGCATTTGTGGGTCGTTTTTTAACTATAATAACCCCCTGATTTACCCACCATTTATATCTACTTCTGTAAAATGTATACGTAGCATACACGGAGAATTTTAAAATAGCCCTTTCAATTTGAATTCAGGCTTTCTTTCAAGTTTAAAATCAAATTCTCTGAAATTTGTCTAAATGTATGGGCTAGTAATGATTGAATGGGAGGGAGTGGGGGGAGGGGGGGGTCCTGACGCTAAAATATTTTAACTGTTCTTAATTGCGTTATGGTGTTACGAGTTTTAAACCAATTTTTCGCAAATATTAGATTTTGATTTTTAAGAAAATGTTCTGCTTAATATTTCTACGCTCAGATGATTTAGATAACGCTAGTTTAACCCAGCATGAAACTTCTTTTACAAACAGTTAATTTACTAACTGACTTTAATTTCAGGTGACCCGCCATTAACAAAAATGGCCATGCCCGATTTACAACAATACCATTAAAACCTTTATCTGAGAAATTATGTAGAAGATAACGAAGTTTATCCAGCTTGAAAAGTAATTAATTCTGATAATGTCGCCATGGATTTCCTGCAGTAGAAATTCGCAAGTCAATTTTGCAGAGAAACCACAATTTAGAAATAATCAGTTTTCATGATCATAAACATAGATATCTAATGCATACTTGAATTAGGTAAAGATTTTAAGAGTACCGTTGTGAATAGAACAGATCAGTCTTCAAATGGACGGTTACTTGAAATTACGCTTTTTGTCCCTTCAAGCACTGGAGTGAGTAGAGGCTGGGTTAGAAGCAGATTTTACTGTTTCCGATTTAACCAAATTGAAATGATTTTATTGATTCTTCGAATCAGTTTTTTCCTTGATAAAATAATATTTAAAATCAGGATATATCCCCTAACTCTTATCCTGGGATATACCCCTATATAGCTTCGGTCAAATACTACAATTATAAATTATTTTAAATACAGTTTCATTTTCCCAGACTTGTTTTTCCAGTGTGCTTCCCACCCTCGTTTAATATTGGAAGAGGGGTCAGGGGGATTTACTTTCAAATATTAACCCCCCACCCAAAAAAAATGCAGTTTTTAAGAATTCCTTTTTTCCTTTTTTTTCATTCATACAAATATTTTTACAGGGATTGATCAACGTGGAGAATATCTGCCCCTGATGAGACACTTTTCAAATNTTTCGGTGCCAAATTCTAGTATTTCAAATCATTAATATTATTTGGGTCTCTGATCATTATTAAACTCCGTGGTCCGCAGGTGTTACGCTATAGATTTTGAATATATATATACATATTAGATACATATATATATTTTTTTATTCCAACTGATGATTGGGTTAGACCAATGAAACATTTTGTCTTGGAAGAAATATATATTTAAACATCTAAAATCTATATTTAAACGGGAAAAAAGTTGAAAATACTCTATATAATATATTTATTATGTAAGTATGCAGTCAAATAAATTTTTCAGACGCCACTTGGACGTTTTCAATGAAAAACTTAAAAAATGAATTTCAATTAATCCCAAAATTTTAGTTGGTTTCAATCTTCCCGACAATTCTCATGTTTTTAATATTGTCTACAGTAGTTTTTGTTATTTCGTCTACAGAGCCGCGGGGTATGTTAGAACTGATTTCTTCTGGTAAGAAATTTAGAGGGTTGAATATATGGGGGGAGGGGGCTTAAAACTGAAGAAAAAAAGGGAAACATATGACATTGATAATATAAAAGAACGAACAATTTTTGTGAATATTAAACTCAAAATGTTAAAAATACCTCTTTTTCAGCGAACTCGTTTTAGAAAAGGCTAGTGGGGGGGAATCCTATAAACATGAATTTGATTATTAAACAGTCTGGAGATAGAGAGGGGGAAGTGTATTTCGATTAATCGAATTAGTTCTCGTGTCCATGTAGACATTGATAGCTGATCGCGCCCATTGGTTTGGCGTTGATCGACTTAGTGATTGTGTCCGTGTAGACATTGATAGCTGATCGCGCCCATTAGTTTGGCATTGATTGGCTTAGTGCTTTCGTCCGTGTAGACTTGATAGCTGATCGCGCCCATTAGTTTGGCGTTGATCAATTACGAGCTCGTATCCTGGTTGACATTTGATAGCTGACGAGATTGTGTCCGGGTTTAGACATTGATAGCTAAGTGAACTACAGTTTCTAGAATTGTAGTTTCTAGACTTGTAGTTTCTAGAATTGTAATTTCTAGATTGTTAGTTTCTAAAATGGTAGTTTTTGGTAGTTTCTAGAATTGTAACTTCTAGAATGTTAGTTTCTAAAATGGTAGTTGTTCAATTGTACTTTCCAGAATGATAGTTTCTAAAATGGTAGTTTTTTAAATTGTACTTTCTAGAATGGTAGTTTCTAGAATGGTAGTTTCTAGAATGGTAATTTCTAAAACGGTAGTTTCTAAAAAGGTAGTTTCTAGAATGGTAGTTTCTAGAATATTAGTTTCTAGAATGTTAGTTTCTAGAATGGTAGTTTCTAGAATGTTAGTATCTAGAATGGTAGTATCTAGAATGTTAGTATCTAGAATGGTAGTATCTAGAATGTTAGTATCTAGAATGGTAGTTTATAGAATGGTAGTTTCTAGAATGGTATCCGTATGTCTTGGAACAATCAAATCTTAGATTTAGGACAGTTTTTACCCCGCTCTTCTTACTGCAGCTTTTACACTGAGGCTTGGATCTGTTTTTGTATAAATACATGTTCAGAATAATCTTATTCTTCTCATTTTATATTTATTTGGGATTCTCTGGGGAAATAAAATACGCAATACATACACTGCAGTGCCGTTCATAGAACTCTCTTCTTAAATATCATCTTAGAAATGAATAAAAATCAATTTTTTGTTATGATCATAAATTTTAAAAAATCTAGCCGTGCTTCCTTTTTGTTGAAAAATATAATGAACTAGAAATGTAAAATGAATAAAAAAAATCAGCGCTACACCTTTTTATTTTATTTTCCTAACTTTTCAGTTTAATTTATATTTGGGAACAAAAAAGTTTCGATCATTTGTTGAATTCTTACATGTGTCCACTGTACGGTGAACCGGTTTTTCCCGCGCATATTTCTCCTCTGTACATTTCACGGTGTACACTTTACACAGTGCAGCAGAGAAGTTATTTTGGCGCATTTCAACGTATTTTAATAATATTATTATTTTCTAATTTCTAGACGGGATCTGTGATAACAATCCTCGGATAATAGAAGATGCGCGAGCGCGTAAGCTGGCAATGGACCTGAAAAGATGCGCGTACTACGAGACTTGCGCCACCTACGGACTCAATGTAGAGCGGGTTTTCCAGGATGGTAAGTTGATACAAAATACTCACCGTTTTATATTGTTGATACACATCTATTTCACGATCAATTTTCTAATTCGATTTTTATTTGAATCTTTCTGTTTGCCTTGCTATTGTGAATCAGTAATTTTTTCAAGCTCTATATTTATTTTAATTCTAACATACTTTATGATAAAGATAAAGTTGAATATTACATGGAATATGAATGCTCTATTTATATAAGAATTACAATAAATTATAAAAAATACACTGAAAACTTATAAAATTGTACAAAATTGTAGAAAATTGTAAAAAAAATTGTATTTTCTGTTCAATTTTTAATCACATTATTTATTAGTATTTAAATTGTAAAAATATTTCAGCGTGTCAGAAGATAGTTCAAGTAAAGGGATTGGGTTCAAGACCAACCACGCCCACCAGCTTCATGCCACGCCCCTTCACCACATACATGTCCTCACCAACCAACGGGTAGGCGGGACAATTACACATCTTATTTTACAATGTGTTTTCTTCCCAGGACTTTTTTGGCTTCAAAATTATCCAAATGTTCACATTTTGTTGTTGTGAATCACATCCCATGTAAGGTTTATATTGATGATTACAAGTTTTGCCTCAAAAACATCCGATTTAAACAAAAAATTTTGAAATCCGCCAATGTAATCCGAAAAATCTGTGAAATCTCAAAATTTCTTGTTCAATTTTGAATAAACTAGGCTTTTAGGGCGCTTCGCGCCCATCGTCTATTTCAACTTGTAACTGTGGCTTTATCTGTGAGCATCTTCTCTTTTTACAGTATAAAACAAAAACAAAAAAGTTTGCGAATTTCATTATATTTTTTTCGCGCATTTTCAAAATCTTACAAAAATAAAAAACTTTTAAGCAGAAATTTTTAAAATTTTGATCATTCATAAACCTTCCATAGGTCACGTGAGGTCCCACACAACATTTGGGCCCGATCGGTTCAGCCTTTTCGACGTTTATTGGATACAACAAACAAACAGACAGACAGACAAGCCAAATTTATATGTAGATAAATATGTGTATATTTTTTTTTGGGGGGGGGGCGGCTTCAGAAGAAACACGCTTATTCAATTTTTATTTTATTTCTAATTTTTCTGGCAAGGCTTGTAAGTCTTTTCAGAACAACTTAAATTCTAAAATAAAATATTTCTTTTATATTGTTTTATTGTTAAGGTACGCTAACGCAATAATACAACAATCTCACTCACCTGCTGGGAATAACTACCAGGTAAGAAGCTTTTTCTATTTTAAAAAGTTTTAATGAGAACATTTTTATATTTTTTTTAAGTTTTATGTTTATTCAACCATACTAAAAGTAAACAAAATAGAAGCTATTGCTTGAGCTTGTTTCGGGAGAAATTATTTTAAATTTTTATCATGTTTTTTTGGGTCGAAAAATTATGGGAAATAGTATGCATTTGAACAAGTGGAAAACAAAAATAATTGTACATTATTGAAAACAAAAACAAACAAAATATGGTTAAAAACAAACAAAAGAAGTTTAAATATTTTATTATTTTTCTTTTTTTCTCCCGAGCACTGTGTTCCTTATCTAAAGACATTTGAAAAAAAAGTTTAAAAACTAAAATGTTTTCTTTTTCAGCCTCACTCACCCGCTCACATACTTCCTCATCAAAATTCATTTACCTCCAATAAGGTCAGTTTTTGATACAGGGGGACAGAACTATAGTTTATTAAACAACGAATGTTAGTAAATTATAAATATGGAATTCAAATCTCAAAATTTTACAAATAAAAAAGTACAAAAACTTTCTAATGCTCTGAAGGGTTCAGCAAAAGAAAAGCAAAAAAAATTTAAAAAAATTTCGTTTATTCAATAAATCAGTAAATTTTTTTTAAATAATCCGGATCTGGGTCCATTATTTTTATCCGTTTCCGGATTAAACTGTATCGTACAGAAATGGATCCTAAGCACTGGTTTTGAAAAAGCATTGCGTTGACATAAACTTGTATGTAATTATGTTACCAATACCCGACCAACCCGTAATATTTGAAATTATGACCCCCCCCCCCTCCCCATTTTGAAACTTTTAAATGGTTTAGATTAGGGGTTGATCCAAACCACGTTTAGACTAATTAAAGTAGGCGTTAATTCCAAATACAATAAAAAATATGAATTTCGATATAAACCCTCTTCAGTTCTAACGATAATATAACCATCAAAATGCATAACAATAACAACAAAATATTGAAATTATTTACAAGGTATCATAGAAGGTTTTTAAATATAAAAAGGGAACGAACTCAGATCATAAAATGTAAAAAAAAATAATTTGCAAATATTCCCTTTTTGAAAATTACTTTTCCATGAGATGTAATGAAAAAAAAAACCTGTTCATTGAATATCTATCTATCTATCTATCTATCTATCTATGTTGATATCTCTATACCTATAATGTCTGTACCTCGCTATTAAGTCAGTTAATTCCACCCATAATAAATCCTAATATTCTCCCATCTATCTTTCTATTTATCTATCTATCTATCTATCTATCTATCTATCTTTCTATCTATATCTGAACATACTTTTTTGTCTAATTATTTAAAAGTCCATTTTTCTATTTTACTATTTGTTTATTTTCTTATCCTATCTATTTATGTATCTATAAATTTATCTCTTTAAATACCTGTTCAATTATCTCTCTGTCTGTCTATCTATCTATCTATCTATCTATCTATTTATCTATCTATCTATCTATCTATCTATCTATTTATCTATACAATAAAATATAAATCTATCTGTCTATCTATTAGCTGGAAAGCAAGAGCTTAAGACTAACCGGGAAATCTGGGTTTCTTAGTATTTATTAGGCGTAGGTGTCCTTACCAAGTTACACCAGGGGTGTTGAAAAAAAATATTTAAAAAAAAATTTTCACATCAAAAAATCTTAGAGTTTTTATGTAAGCGGTTTTTACCAATTTAAAAGATTTTTTCTATCTCCTTTTTTTTCGAGAATATGAAAAAATAAAAAATTAGAATTTTGTATTGAAATGTGAAAAAAAATTTCCCTGTTGAATTTCCTATAATTGTCAAGCCTATGATGGTGTGGGTTGATATCTTACTCAGTCTAGGTTAGATGCGACACAAGCAATCTTGTACCGGAGTTTTAATCATATCCTCTTAGAAATTAACTGAGTTAGAAACTTTTGATTTTAAAAGACGCTAATCAACAACTGCTGAAATCGAAAACTTTAGATCAAACTTTAAATTTGAATCTGTGAAATCCGTGAATACAGCTTTCTGATATTTTTTTAATTCTTTTTATTTCGATTTTCATTTATGCCTTATTTCTTCGGTCAGTTCAATTTTGCTTTTAAAATCTTACAAAGAGCCATTTTTAGAAAATAAATCTTAGATTTTGTGAAGGCTCTGAAAAAAAATTTAAAAAAAACTTTCAAAATCAAACCCACTCTTATATTTTTTTTATTTTATGTTTTTTAACTATGTTTTAAATTATGTTTTTATTTATTAATTTTGTGAGTTAATTTCTAGAAACTTTTTAAAAATGCAATCCCATTAGTTTGTTGATATGTTGATTAATATTAGTCTAAAACTGAGTTTTATGCTTTACAAAAGGATGAAAACTTTTATAACCCACAGAAAGGTAACGAAAATAGATAAAAGTTCATTTAAATTATTGAAATTAAATTTTAATTTGTTGTATTGTATTCTACACTGTTAAACGTACTTATTCGTAATTATTGAGTTCAATTTGGTTAACTAAATTTAGAAAAAAACGCAGCTTTTCTCCATTACATTTTCCAAAAAAGAATCTAAAACATTTTGGAAAACAAGTGTCACATATGGACATTTTAGCCACCCCCTGCCCCCCACCCCCATCCTTCCTCATCAAACTAGCCTTATATATTCCTGACATACAGCAATTATATACTTGGGGTTATAATTCATATTACAGTTTATACATTTAGCAATAATATTCCAAGAAACGCCCGTAGTCGATATTTTATCAGAAATCGATAAAACTGATTTAAGTTTGATAATTCGGGGAATAGGAAAATTTGCATCGACATATTCGGAAAGAGAGATAGAGGAGATAGAAAAATATGTTTTAGAGGGAAGGATGGATAGAAAAGCAGTGAGATAGAGATGGAAAGATAGATTGATAGATAAATTGATTAATGGATGGATGGATAGATAGATTGATAGATCGATAGATAGATTGATATATAGATAGATCGATTGCTTGATAGATTAATAGATTGATAGATTGATAGAACCGATAGAATCGATGGAAAGATAGATTGATAAATGGAGAAAGTTGATGGAAAGATGTATTGATAGAAATTGATGTAGAGATAGATTGATAGAGTTGATAGAAAGATAGATAAATAAATAAATAGAGTTGGTGGAAAGATGTATTGATAGATAGATATTATTGATGGTAAGATAGATTGATAAGAGTTGATAAAAAGATAAAAAAAATAAATAGAGTTGATGGAAAAATTGATAGATAAATATATCAATATATTAATAGGTAAGTAGTGAAATAGATAGATACAATTAATCAAAAAATAGATTGATAGACAGATAGGTTGGATGGATGCAACTATCAATAATTTGATTGATGAATTGATTGATGGTGGGAGGATAAGTGAATAAAGAATAGATTAAGAAGAGAGTTAAATTATGTTTAATAGAGATAGATAGATAGATCCATAGATAGATAGATAGATAGATAGATGGATCCATAGATAGATATATAGATAGATAGATCTTTCTATCTTTCCAAATGTTACTCAGATTGAAGTTCAAAAGGTACTGTTGTGAATTGGGCAATGAACATGCATCTTTTTAAACGGAGGGTCTCTTGTAATTTCGCCGACTGTCCCTTTAGTTCATCATAAAAGCAATAAAATTCCCTTTAATATTTGCAGAAATGTTATACCTAGAGGCCAAGGATTAGAGCCAAATAGTATTATTAATTGTCGTATGCTTACTGCCTACTGCTTGGTGATAAATTGGTTTATTGTAAAGCATTGTATTGGAGTATTTAGCCCGGAGGGGGGGGGGGGTAGCAACAAATTCTTTTTAATCCTCCAATTTTGTTTTACTGTTAGGATTAAGTTGAAAGGTGAATATGTATTTTTACTGTCATCTGGAAAGACAGTTATTTGCGGATTTGTGTTTAACTGCATTTGCAAGATGTTTCATGTTGCAGCATTTACGAATTAAAACCAACTATTCTAACTTTTTCTTGTCAAATTATCCGAATTTTTTAGTTAGATATTTTATGAGTTTTCTTATTTTCTGCAGAAGATAAATAGTTTGTATATTAAAGACTTAATTTCAAATTTCATTTTTCGAGTGGCATGTCTTCCGCAGCAATAATGAGAAAGATATTGTCGTTTTTCTATCTGAAATTTTGACAATGTCTTCATTGATTCTGTCGCACAAAGCCGCAAGTAGCCATAATCGCGAATGGATAAAAATGCAAGGATATCTCTTATCATCCTTGATATGACAAAGGTTTCAAGGTTACTGTTGTGAATCGGACCATGGCAATTGAAATAATGTCTCCAGTCCCTTTAAGGACAAACAATGAAGGATTTAAAAACTGGAAACAAACAAATTTTTGTTTACTTTCTTTGCTGGTTTTTTATTTGTTTGTTAGAAATAGATTGTTTGTTGTTCACGAAAACATATTCATTGATTCAAGTTTGAACAAGGAAAATATGTTTACTTCACATTTGAAAATATCTCTTGTTGCTTTTTAATTTTCTCTGATTGTTATGATACCTTTAGATTCTCATATGTTCTTTTTAAAATCTTGATTCCAATTTCCTTTTTACAGGGTGTTGAAAATAAAACTTAATCATTGGAAATTTAAATTCAAAGTTAGAATAAATTAGGTTTTTTCAATCACGTTTTTCTTCTTTTTATTTGTAGTGAATGTTCATTAAGAAAAAATGCTTTATATAACTCTTATTTATATCAACGTTTTTTAGAAAACGGTTTTATTTTAACACCCTTTAGATTCTCATCCTATTCTTCTCCTGTAACTTTATCTGATTGTTGGTGTTTATGGTTGGATGAATTAGTTTCTCATCCCCTGGAGGGATACAGCTACCTCATCCGTCCCCCCGGTCGCTGAGAACGGTATTAAATCATTGATATCCACTATCCAGTAAACTCCGATTTCTGAACCTTCTAAACCCAGAGCTCCGCTCCGATTTCAGAACCTAGGGCTCCGCTCGCACTCCCCACTCCCCAGTCATAGTAAGACTACTCAGTTGGTCGGAATGAAGTATTGTGGGACCACAATATAAAATATAATATATCAGTAAAAATAGTGAAAATAGATAAAAATATTGTTTAAAACATTTCAAAGTGATCAGTTTTGCTAAGATTCTCGAATGCTCATTTTTAAGGTATAACATGAAACTTTACACAAAAGCATTGTTTAAAAAGAAAATCTGGGTTAAATTCTGCTAAAAAGTTTAATGGAATTTGCATACTGTACTTTAAAAATCATATAGCCATCAAAAAAGGGGTCCAAAAGTGACAAATAATACTTATAATCAATATTATCAATAGTTCAACCGTCGCATTGGAAGATGAAATGGCGTAAATCTATCCGATCTTGTTGAGGTCAAGTTCATCTTGAAAATGAAACAATTAAATCTATTTATTTTTAAATTGAATTTAGTTCACAGGAGCTTAAAAATCAAATCAAGATGTTGAGGTTGATCAAGTGATCTCAAATCAAGATGTTGAGGTTGATCAAGTGATCTCAAATCAAGATGTTGAGGTTGATCACGTGATCTTAATTTTTCTCGAATTTGTGAATTCATATATTTCTTTCGTTAAATAGTACACTTTTATGTTATTACTTATTTGTATACATTATAGACAAAATTGAAGGGGGGGGGGGTGTCTTTATTCCCTCTACAGTGTACAACTTTGAATTAAGAATTCTGTGAAACCCTTTAAATGGAAAAACTTGAATGTTAATCAAAATCCGTACGATTAGTTTTTAACAATTTTCTCCTTATATACGCAACAGATAGAAGTAAGATTAGTAGTGATCAAAAAAGCTTATTTTTCGCCGTAAGCCTATACCCCCTTTCATTATTCACAAACACTCTCTTTAAGTTAAACACTTGAAGCCCTTATATCTGTATAAATTTAATTGTTGAATAATGAAAATGCTAATTTTTAAAACCTTGGGTGTAATTATGGTAACAAGGGGAGACATAGTTTAAAGTGACAATCCATTTATGAAAGAGAATGTCCGATTCACAACGGTTTCTTTTAAATTTAAATTTCTAATTGTGGTTTTCTATAAAAAATGTCATGCCGGGGATTTTATGCAGCAGAATAAAAGAACACATATCACAGAATTCAACACTTTTTAAAAGAGGGAAAATCGAAAATATCTTTCCCATTGTTTCCACGCTACAAATGAATGGTCACATTAAATTAATCCTACAGTCCCTTTGAGGTTGATTGTTTCATCGTTGCCCTTTCCTGTCTTTTCCTTTCTTTTCTTACCTTTTCATGCCTTCCTGCCTTTTCCTTCCTTTTCCTTCCTTTTCCTTCCTTTTCCTTCTTTTTACTTCCTTTTCCTTCCTTTTCCTTTTTTTCCTGTCTTTTCCTTCTATTTCTTACCTTTTCATGCCTTCCTGCCTTTTCCTTCCTTTTCTTTCCTTATCCTTCCTTTTCCTTCCTTTTCCTTTTTTTCCTGTCTTTTCCTTCCTTTTCCTTCCTACTGTCTTGAAAAACTGCTCCTTTTTACAGGGTGTTGA